GGGTCCAAGATTATCTTCTGTGTCTGTGTTAATTGGTTTCCCTTTTCTTTGTTGAAGAGGGTCTGTGCAATCCTTCTGCCTAGTCCGCCATCTTACCCCGCCTCTGATTTTTTTTTTAAAGCTGAATAGATGCAAACTATTATTGTCATAATATTTAAGAGGAACATGACTGTCATTTTCCTAAGTTTGATTTATTAAGAAATATTCAATCAATATTTGAAAGCAGCTGTCAGTGAAAGAAAGAACTTCCTCCAAAGAAAAGAGTGATCTTTGCAAAATGCAGATGGTATTAAAATTTACCCTTTTGTACCTTCCTTCCACAAGCACTTCACTGTTACTTTTCCAGGATCTTCCATTTTTCCTAGAATAAAGGCAAAACTTGTTGAAGGCTTTCTACCAGACAACTGTGTCCTCCAGCCCCAACTTTTGCTTCTCTGGGCTTTAGCCATCTAGGCTTGCCATTCCTCAAACTCATCAAGCTCCCTTGTGCTGCTAGTTAAGCCATTTGGCATCGAGTCAGTTCTGACTCTTGGCGATCCTATGTGTGTCAGAGTGGAACTGCATTCCACAAGGTTTCTTTTTTTTTTTAAGAAATTTTTTTCTTTATTTTTTTAAAAATCCCTTCACCCATAAGTCTTTCAATTGAGTCACTGCTTTGCACTTCTCTTGGAAATTACATGTTGAGGTGAAAAACAAACTGAATAAATGAATCATTGTTTACTCCTTTCTCCTTACTACCTCAGTGATCTGGAGTAAGTCGCTCAGATTATTCTCACATGTGATAAGGCAATAATACCTGACCTGGGCCTGCATCACTAAGGCTAAAACAGTCAATATGAAATGCCAGGATACAGGTGTACAGTGATGACCATAATGAGGACGTTAATGTCTAACATTCTAGTCTATTAATATCTTTGATTGATAATTAAAGGGCTTTTAGCTACAGAATTTCACTTTGTAGCTAATACGGAAAAGGCTTTCCATAAAGAATAGGATAAAAGTTTTGTATCCAAATACAAGTATAGAGCAGCAGTCCATATTACCCCCCTTTATGCTCATAATCAGTCTAGAACTTTAGAAGAAGGTAATATCTAGTTCTGAATAGTTTCGTCTGAATCTATCTACCAAAAATGAATGTTTTCCTGCAGGAAAAAAGGTAATACTGAGCTTGGAACTCGTGGTTAAATTTTATGATAAAATTTTGGCAATACTTTAAAGCATAAATTATTTTTAAATACACAATATCCTTAACTTTTGATCCTTGGTTTTAAAAAGCACTCTGGAAGTGTTGATTTTATGACTTTTTTCTTCTTTTTGAGAAAAGTCATAAATAAAAGCCACGTTTTATTAATTTTTTTTCTTCCATTGATCAAAGAAAAATCTTGTTACAATACTTCTGTCAAGAAATAAAGCCACTCTTTATGTGTATCTCTTCCTTTAATCCTCAGGATAAGAGATAGGGTAACTTTTATAATGGGGGCTTTACATTATTATTCTGAATGTGAAGAAGAGAGTGAGAAGAAAATAAAATTCTGCTGTATCTGCTATTGAAGACCAGGTAACTACAGATGCTTGGTTGCACAGATATTTATATAAAATATAAGTATTTTATATTCTATTTTGTTTTTCAGAAATGTTGATTGAGATGCTCAAACTGACCTTCAATTTGAAAAACATTCATCTAATTCAACCTTCTTAGTTGATAGCTAAGGAAGTGACTAGAGATACGCATCTAATTACTAGACTACAATGGTCTGAAGCCAAGTTTTCCTAAGACCCTAGCAATACTTTTTTTAATGAAAAATAGTTTAATTTAATTATGCAAATATACATAAGCCAGTGTTCTTTCCATTGTTATACCTCTTCTTCCTTATTTTTCAAAGATATTTAATTAGAAACCATATACATGAAAATTAGAATAATGGAAAATTTAAATTACAAGTGAGGTAATAATGTGTCTTGTCTTTAGAGGAACACCTACACGAATGTTCCTTCACCACTCCAAAACTGAGTCTATGAACTATGATGTGAAAACGTTTGGATCTTCTCTCCCTGTTAAAATTATGGAAGCCCTAACGTTGGCTGAAGGTAGGTCTCATTTTTCCTTTTGCTTCTGCTAGTAGTTCAACATGAAGGCTAGGTTTGACACAAAGTTCAGAAAGGCAACATTAAGGATGAGGGATTGGGTGACAGGTAGAATATAGTTCAGAGTATTTGCATAAGTCATTGTTTTTAAGGATTTAATAATTCTTGATACTTGTGATTACCCGGAACAGTATTTTTCAAACTAAAGTTTGTGATTAAAATTGGCTTAGTGGTTTGTGACCAACATTTTTTTTTTTTTTTTAAAATTGTGATTTGGGTGAAGATTTACAAAGCAAATTCACTTTCCATACAGCAGTTCACATATACTTTGTCTCATGTCATTGACCACAGTTTACCACAATGCAATAGCTCCCCTCCCACTTCCTCCCCATAGTTACCTCTTCCCAGTGTCCATCCCTCTATACACTCCTGCCCCCTGAGCTATCTCCCTTCTTTCTCCCATGATTGTTCTCTCCAAGGAGTGTATCTACTTGAGGTAAATGTTTAACTCATATGCCTGTCCTTTGTTTGGCTGGAAACCACAGGTGTGGGTTCAATTCCAGACCTGAAGGGCAGCTAGGCGCCATAGTCTCAGTGGTTCCACCAGGCTCTATCGGACCAGCAAACATGGTCCCCCCCCTTTTTCTTCCCCTCTAAATGATTTTGAGTTTTGTTCCACATTGTTCTCCCTCTCTATCAAGGTTCTCCTACATAGATCCCCTTCCAAGTGGATGACAGTGGTAGCCGGGCACCATGTAGTTCTTCTGGTCTCATAGTTGTATACGCTGCAGATTGGATGGTGTACCAGTCTCTAGGACTAATTGTTTCCATGAATTTTGGTTTTCTTCATTCTTCTTTGCTCTGGATGAGGAGAGACCCATCGTTGTATCTAGATGGCAGCTTGCTAGCTTTTAAGATCCTAGTCGCTACTCGCCAAAGTAGGAGGTGGAACAATGTTTTGTATAGTATGTTATGCCAATTGAGCTTGATGTCCCTTGAGACTATGGTCCCAAGCCCTCATGTTCAGCTACTTGGTCCCTCTGGGTAGCTGGCTGTGACCAAGCAGTGACCACAACCTTGCCCCTTATCATCTCTGCTATACACCTGGGAATTCTGATCATTCACATAAACTTATAAGATCATTGTCTGCCAACCCTATATATGTTCTTGGATACACTCCCCATTTTATAGACATACCTAATCGTTTAGCCTGTCCACCCATCTATCCATCCGTGTACCCATGTTTGCCTTCACTGATAACGCAGTACTGTATATGCAAAAGGGTTCATATTTGTTGTCTGTATCTCCCATGTAGCTCTCTATGTCTTTCTCATCCTCAATGCTGCCATATTGGTCATTCACATTTGGTCCATTGCCCTTCTCTTCATCCAAATCAAACTTATCTCTATCTATCTAACAGCGGTGACCAACATTTTTTAAAAAATGAAATGGAATAGAATGGAAAATATATAGTAAGGTTAAGTAACTTTTTTTCAGTTTTACTTTAATTATGTGAGAATTCATCATAATTTAAAATGTATTTCATAATGTGAACGATAGTCAAGTAAGTTTATAGTTCTCTGTTATAGAAGAAGGAATACTTCTCATCAACTTGAACTCATGCATTTTGCCTGTAAGTTCTCGGGGGCTTTAGGACAAAACTTCTGCCACACATTTTATCTGTTAAATATATGTATATATATTTATGTTTTATGTAGATATACTATACACATATGCACACACACATACACATTCTCTCTAACAATACCAGTTTAAATTGCATTTAAACATTTTTAGAAGTTGTAAAAAATATATAAAATTTGTCACCATAACTGTTTTTAAGAGTACAATTCAATGAGATTAACTACATTGACAGTGTAACATAACCTTCACCACAGAAACTTATTTTCCAGAGCTTTTTCATCACCACAAACAGAAACTCTGTACCTGTTAAGCACTAACTCGCAATTTCCCCCTCCCCCCCAGACCTGGTGACCTCTACTTTCTGTCTGTGTGTGTGTCTGTGTGTTTGATATTTCATATAAGTGGACTCATACAATTTTTGTCCTTAGTGTCTTTTTTCCTACAGAGCATAATGTTTTCAAGGTTCATTTATGCTGTAGCATTCATCAGAACCTTATTTTTCTTTATGACTGAATAATATTTCATTCTACATATGTACTGCATTTTGTTTATCTGTTTATCTCTTAAGGAGCTTTGGTGGTATAGCATCTAAGGTATTTGACTGTTAATCAGAAGCTTGGCAGTTCAAACCCACCAGCCACTCCTCAGAAGGAAGACTGGGCAGTCTACTTCTGTAAAGATTTACCACCTTGGAAACCCAGAGGGGGTTGCTATGAGTCAGAATCCACTCAGTGGCAGTGAGTTTATTTATTTTTTTTTTGTAATTCGTCTATTGGTGGACACTTGGATAGTTTGCAACTTTTGGCTGTTATTAATAATGCAATGAACATTGATGTACAAGTATTTGCTTGAGGCCCTGCTTTTAAATCTTTTGAATACCTGGAATGCAATTGCTAGGTGATATGATAATTATTTGCTTAACTTTTGAATAACCACCAAACCGTTTTCCATGTTGTTATGTCCTGTCGAGTTGTGTAGCAACCTTATGTACAGCAGAACGAAATACTGCCTGGTCCTGTGCCAGCCTTACAATTCCTACTATTCTTGAGCCCATCGCTTCAGCCACCTTGTCAGTCTGTCTTGTTGAGTGCCTTCCCTCTTATGTTGACCCTATACTTTCCCAAGCATGACATCCTTCTCCAGAGAGTGGTCCCTCTGACAACATGACCAAAGTAGGTAAGATGAAGTCTGGCCATTTTTGCTTCCAGGGAGCATTCCGGCTGCCCTTCTTCCAGGACAGATTTGTTTGTTCTTTTAGCAGTCCATGGTACTTTAGGCATACTTTGCCAACACTACAACTCAAAAGCATCAACTCTTCAGTCTTCCTTATTCATTGTCCATCTTTCACCTGCATATAAGGTGATTGAAAATACCATGGCTTGGGTTAGGCTCATCTTAGTCTTCAAGTAGTTATCTTTGCTCTTCAGTGCTTGAAAGAGGTTTTTTGCAACAAATTTACCCAATGCAATACATCTTTCGATGTCTTGACTGCTGCTTCCATTGGTGTTGATTATAGAGCCAAGTAATATTAAATCTTTGACAACTTCTCTCTTTTCTCCATCTATTGTGATGCTGCTTGTCGGTCCAGTTGTGAGGATTTTTGTTTTCTTTATATTGAGGTGTAATCCATACTGAAGACTGTAGTCTTTAATCTTCATCAGTGAGTGCTCCAAGTCTTCCTCACTTTTAGCAAGCAAAGTTGTGTCATATGCATATCTCAGGTTGTTTAATGAGTCTTCCTCCAATCCTGATGCCTTGTTCTTCATATAATCCAGTTTCTTGGATTATTTGCTCAGCATATAGATTGAATAAGTATGGTGAAAGGATACAATTCTGATCCACACACTTCTTGATTTTAAACCATGCAGTAGTATCCCCTTGTTCTGTTTAAACGATAGCCTCCTGGTCTATGTACAGGTCCTTCATGAGTACAATTAAGTGTTCTGGAATTCCCTTTCTTCTCAATGTTATCCACAATTTGTTATGATCCACACAATCAAATGCCTTTGCATAGTTAATAAAACACAAGTAGACATCTTTCTGGTATTCTTGGCTTTCAGTGAGGAGCCATCTAACATGATATCCCTTGTTCCACGTCCTCTTTTGAATCCAGCTTGCATTTCTGGAAATTCTCTGTCAATATACTGCTGCAACCATTTTTGAATTATCTTCAGTTAAGATTTTACTTGCATGTGATAGCAATGGTATTGTTTGATAATTTCCGCATTCTGTGGGATCACCTGTCTTTGGAATGGGTACAAATATGGATCTCTTCCAGTCAGTTGGCTAGGTAGCTGTCTTCCAGATCTCTTGGCATAGCTGATTTAATGTCTCGAGAGCAGCATCTGTTTAATGAAACATCTCAGTGGGAATTCTGTCAATTCCTGGAGTCTTGTTTCTTACCAATTCCTTCAGTGCAGCTTCTACTTCTTCCTTCAACACCATTGGTTCTTGATCATATGTCACCTCCTGAAATGGATGATGATCTACCAGTTCTTTTTGGTATAGTGACTCTGTGTATCCATCTGTCTTCTTTTGATGTTTCCTGCATCAGTCAACTTATTGCCCATGGAATCTTTCAGTATTACAACTCGAGGCTTAAATTTTTTCTTCAGTTCTTTCAGCTTAAGAAATGCTGAGCATGTTCTTCCCTTTTGGTTTTCTAACTCCAGGTTACAAAACACACATTTTGTTATAATAATTGACTTTGTCTTCTCGAGCTGCTCTTTGAAATCTTCTGTTCAGCTCTTTTATCCTGTCGATTCTTCCATTTGCTTTAGCTACTCTCCATTCAAGGGCAAGTGTCAGAGTCTCTTCTGACATCCATTTTGGTCTTTTCTTCCTTTCTTGTTTTTTAATGACCTTTTGCTGTCTTCATGGTGGATGTTCTTGATGTCATCCCACAGTTCTTCTGCTTTTCTGTCATTGGTGTTCAGTGCATCAAATCTGTTCTTTAGGTGGTCTCTGAATTCAGAAGGATATAATCAAGGTCATATTTTGGCTCTTGTGGACTTACTTTAATTGTCTTCAGCTTCAGCTTGAACTAGCATATGAGCAGTTGATGTTCAGCTCCACAGTCAGCTCCTGCCTTGTTTTTGCTGAAGGTATTGAGGTTCTCCACCGCCTCTTTCCACAGAAGTAGTCGATCTGATTCCTATGTATTCCATCTGGCGAAGTCCACATGTATAGCCACTGTTTGTGTTGTTGAAAAAAGGTATTTGCAATGAATAAGTTGTTGGTCTTGCAAAATTCTGTCATGCAATCTCCAGCGTTATTTCTATCACCAAGGCCCTATTTTCCAAGTAACGGCGATTCTTCTTTGTTTCCAACTTTTGCATTCCATTCACCGGTGATAATTATCTGTGATAATTAACACATCTCGATTGCATGTTTGGTCAATTTCTGACAGCAGAAGTTGGTAAAAATTTTCAATTTTTTCAGCTTTGGCTTTGGTGGTTGGTGTGTAAATTTGAATAATAGTAGTATTGTCTTCCTCATAGGCATATGGATATTATCTTATCACTGACAGTGTTGTACTTCAGGATAGATCTTGAAACATTCTTTGTGACAATGAATGCCATACCATTTCTCTTCAGTTTGTCATTCCTGGAGTAGTAGATCATATGGTTGTTTGATTCACAATGGCTGAAACCAGTCCATTTCAGCTCACTAATGCCTAGGATATTGATCTTTATGTGTTCCATTTAATTTTTGACAACTTCCAATTTTCCTGGATTCATACTTCATATGTACCATGTTCTAATTATTAATGGCTGTTTGCAGCTGTTTCTTCGCACTTTAAGTTATGCCACATCAGCAAATGGAGGTGCCAAAAGCTTTACTCTATCCACATCATTAAAGTTGGCTCTATTCTGAGGAGGCAGCTCTTCATGAACTACATAATTTTACATCCTCACCAGCAATGCATGGGGGTTACAGTTTCTCCACATCTTTGCCAACACCTGCTATTGTCTGTTTTCCTGATAACTTTCATCCTATTGTATGTGTAAGTCCTTTGCCCATTTTTAATGGGGTTATTTGTCTTTTTGTTGTTGAGTTGTAGGAGTTCTTATATATTCTAGATATTAAACCCTAATCAGTTATATTTTCTTCCATTCATAGGTTTTCTCTTCACTTTTTTTGATAAAGGTCTTTGATGCACAAAGTTTTTAATTTTGGTAAAGTCAGATTTATTTTTCCTTTTGTTGTTTGTGCTTTTGATGTCATATCTAAGAATCCTGGCTATAAGTCCATAAGATTTATCCCTATATTTTATTCTAAGAGTTAGACAGTTTTAGTGCTCATATTTAGGTCATTGATCCATTTTGAGTTAATTTTTGTATATGGTGTAAGGTTGTGGTGGGGGTCCAATTTCATTCTTCTGCATGTGGAAAACCAGTTTCCATACACCGTAGATTGATTAAACTACTCTTTCTGCATTAAATGAACTTCACACCCTTGTAAAAAATCATTTGACCATAGATGTATGGGTTTATTTCTGTACTCTGAATTTTACTCCATTGTTCTGTTGTTTATCCTTCTGCCATCACCACACTCTTGATTACTGTAGCTTTCTAGTTAAGGTTTAAAATTGGAAGGGTGAGTCCTCCAACTTTTTTTTTCCCTTGTTCCCCAAGATTGTTTTTTTCCTTGCAATTCCATATGAATTTGAAGGTTAACTTTTCCATTTCTACAAAATAAGCTTTTGAATTTTGATAGGAATTTCATTGATTCTTTAGATCACTTCTGATGCTGTTAACATCTTGATAAATAATATTAAGTATTCCAATTCATGAACACAAAATGTCTGTTTATTTAAGTTGTCTTTAATTTATTTCAGCAATGTTTTATAGCTTTAGCATACAAGTCCTTCATCTCCTTGGTTAAATTTATTTCTTAAGTATTTTGTTCTTTTAAATGCTGTCATAAATAGAATTATTTTCTTAATTTTCTTTTTTGATTGTTCATTGCTGTTATGTGGAAATCCAACTGATTTTTGTGTGTTGATCTTATTCCCTGTAATTTTGCAGAATTTGTTTATTAGTTCTAGCTGTCCTGTGGCATTTTTTCTATGTAGGTTCATCACATTAGAGATAGTTTTACTTCTTCCTTTCTAATTTGGTTGCTTTTTGTAACCTTTTATCATACTCCTGGTTCATGCCATCAGACTCTGTTAATAACAAATAATACACAGCCTCAGATGTTGACGTTCAGAGGAGAGAGTCCCTGGAAACTGGGATGTGTAAATTGAGGAGATGGGAATTTGAAGAATTCTTGCCCACAAGTACTGTGTTAGGTCCGGGCCCTCAGGGACTCACCAGTAGAGGAGTTGGAGGTACTGTAGTGCTTTCAGGGGGAAAACAATATTAAGCAGATACGCCAGTTCAGGAAGAAAGCGCACAGTTAGCCCACATATGAATTGACATTTTGGCTTCTACCTTATTAATGCCTTTTATTTTGCCCATTAGCCCTGCCTTTAACCAAAGAGCAAAGCTCATACTAGTTAAATATCCAGGATGTTAATAAGCTTACAGAGGCTTGCCACCAATGCTTAAGAAATAGCAATATGCCAATTTAATTTTATCACTTAATAGAAAATGTAACTCTTTATGTCTTTATATAATAAAATAATTTAATCTTAATATTTGTAGTCTTTATTTCAAAATCATATTCCTTTAAAGGAACATGATTTTTCTTTAGATGATTTGTATAGTTGCTAAAAGGTTTATTTGTGTTTTATCAGAGTAAAATTACGAAGGTTACTAAATGTTTTGAAAGTATGAGTCATAGAAAGTAAGTTATAGGAAGTAAGATAGCTTATAGAAAGTAAGAAACCTCAGAATCAAAATATACTTTTTTTGCCTTTATGTAATTCTAAAGATGATTGTTGTTGTGTACCATTATGAGAACTGCCCCAGAAAATTTCCTATGTTGTAATCTTTACAAGGGCATATTGCCAGGTTTTTTCTACCTTGGAGCTGCTGAGTGGGGTTCAAACCACCGACCTCTTGGTTAGCAGCCAAACACTTAACAATTGCTTCACCAAGAGAATGTTTTGTTATTGATGTTGAATAATTTTTTAATCCCCCCTCCCCCTTATTCTTGTTTTCTTTTGTGAATTAACCTTCTTTTTGTTGTTGTTGTTATGTGCCATCGAGTCAGCCCCGACTCATAGCGACCCCTCCTTGGGTTTCCGAGGCAGTATCACTATGGAAGTAGGATTGCCCAACCTTCCTTCCGAGGAGTGGCTGATGGGTTTGAACCACCAGCCTTCTGGTTAGCAGTCAAGTGCTTTAGCCACTATGCTACCAGAGCTCCTTAACCTTCTTTGGTGTGTGTCAATTTTCTTTTTTTGGTGAAGCATGTGACAATAAAGATTTTGGTATAAGGAAATTGTGACAGTTTTTCATATGCATACTTAAAGATTAATTGTGTACCTCATTTTTTTCTTTTTAAGTTGATGATCAGCTGACTATTCACATAGATGAAGGTGGATGGGCCTGTCTGGTCTACAAAGAGAAACTCATTATTTGGAAGATTGGTCCATCACCTATTACTAAGGTAATGGCTCTGTAGAGAGCCTAAAGGAGATAGAAGATAGGGATACCAATTGGTTCTTGACTTTATCCTAATTTTTAGGATTGATGGAAGATAGTAATCTGAACCTACTCAAGCATTATGGATTTGCATTTTCATAGTGCTATGGAGTACTGAGTATGCACAAACATGTATGTATTGGGGAAAAAGCTTTTCCTTGTTAATAATTTTTAAACAAGATCCGTGTTATTTACACTTAATAAAATTACAACTGTTAAAATTTTCAGCAAATGTTACGCTAATTTGTCTGCCTAATGGAGTCTAAGGTGAAATATTATCCAAGTAAACTATGGAATTTATTGCTAAGAAGATAGAACTATTGCATAAAGGACATGGGGGTGGCATCCACTGACATCCTCTAACTTCACGAGGGGGAGACAGAATCACCATCAGCAGCCCAAGGCTTATTCATATGAGATCAGACTTGCCACCACCCTCTAGCGTTTTTACCAGTTCTGGCACCAATGGTCCCTCCCATGGTACCCCCTACTTCTCTGCTGGGTTCCATAATTCATTGCAGTGGCCACACAAAACTCACAAACAATATTCATGATTATGAGGTTTATTAGGGAAGTAACTGGTTACAATTCAGGTTTAGGCATATGCTCAGCATACAGTTCTTGCATCAGGACAGTCTCCCCTCTACTGTGCCCTTAGGCATGCCTCTTTGGCTCTTAGCCTCTCAGTATGGCTTTTGCCCTGCTAGGGCAAGTGTTACAAAGCTATTTTAGCTCTACTGATAGGGGCTTCTAGGTGCACCCCACTCTGTCAGCAAGCCTCCTGCCCAAAGGCACTCAGCTTACTTGCTGTGTGAGCCAGCAAGCCTGTTGCTCTGTCTCATGCCTCTTGGTTCCTCAGCTGGTTGGCTCAGTCACGTGTCTCTGCCAAAGAGCTTCAGTACAGGAATCTTGGGTCCCAGGATGTGCTATACTCCACTTCTAGCTCTTCTTTCTTGATGGCAGTGAGATCCCCTCTTCTGGACCTAGGAAACCTTATTTTAAAGCGGGCAGAATGAGAAAACTAACCAATCCCAACATCAGAGCTCCATATACCTTATTTGCATGGCCTCACCCCCACAGGAACTCTGGTAGCATAGTCCTAAGGCACTTGACTGCTAACCAGAAGGCTGGTGGTTCAAACCCACCAGCCACTCCTCGGAAGGAAGATTGGGCAATCTACTTCCGTAGTGATACTGCCTCAGAAACCCAAGGAGGGGTCGCTATGAGTCGAGTCCGACTTGATGGCACATAACAGCAACAACAACACCCCCACAAGGATGCCAGATACCATATTTATGTAACTCAGAAGCTATCCAGTCCTCTTTGTAGGCCACAAGCATGTTACATTTGTATAGTTTTACCTAGTCATCTGGTGGGAGTCACAAAGACCATGGCTAGAAAAACCGTACCAAGTAATTCACTACACCAAAGCTATATTTCCTGAATCTAGTGAATGATGCTTTATAAGAAAAATGATACTAATTTTGAATTTAACTTTCAGTTGTTTTTCCAACAGAAGGGTTATCCTGTGTCTAGTAACTTACCATTAGTAACTTCTTTTTTTTTGGGGGGGGGGAGGTTATAGCTTGGACATAATTCCTTGTATCAAGCATTACTCACTGGGCCTTGTTACATTGGAACTGACGGGCCCCTACTTACCTAAACTCTTCAAGTCTTTTAGGTGTGTGCTGCCACTGCATAGAAAGTAGTATTTCTAGTAAGGAAAAAGTCCTGGGTGACATACTGAGTTAGCAGAGGGAATCTGATATTTGGCTGATAATCTTAAGAAATATTTTCTAGGAAATTCAGTACAATTAATCTCTAATCATGCTTATTTTATATTAAATGTCAAACAACAAATCAAGTGTAGAATACACTTCTTTAGCTGGGAAAGATACTGGACTAGTTGGCATTCAGTGTCCAGGGTAGCACTTAAATTTTCCTGATTTTATATCTTTTAAGACACTTTGTTTTAAATGTACTCAAAGCTGTGACCATACCTGATGAAAAGAGAGATGTGAGAAGAAAAATATTTGTAGAATGGTATTTCCAACATTGAATCAGATCTAAAACATTCAGAGAAAAGAGATAGGGGAATCAGATACATATTTGAAAAATTGGATTTCATGTGAAAGATTTTCTGTTTGCCTTTGTTTCATAGTTATCTGTGTGTAAAGAACTTCAACTACCACCTAGTGATTTCCACTGGAGTGCAGACTTGGTGGCTCTCTCTTACTCGGCTGTCTCAGGTGAAGCACATTCTATTCAGGTAAGTGACTTAAGTGCTTATTGAAATAAACCTTTTAAGATAAGAGAGGTCTAAAGATGGAGGAATCATCTGATCCAATTTTAAGATGTAATTATAAAGCTACAGAAATCAAGACGTTGTGGTATTGTAAAGACACATAGGTCACTGGAACAGAATCGAGAACAGATACAAACTCACACAAATAGGGCCATTTGGTCTTGACAGAGGTGTAAAAGCAATTTAGCATTTTAACAAATGATGTTGGAACAGTTGGTCATCTGTATGCAAAAAACTGAATTTTCAAATAAACCTCATTCCTTATAGAAAGATTTTTACTCAAAGTGAATCACAGACCTAAATATGAAATGTACTATTATGAAACTTTTAGAACAAAAGAGTCTTTGTGACCTGGGATTAGGTGAAGAATTCTTCAAAATGACACCAAAACTATGATCCATATAATAAAACAATTCATAAATTGGACTTCATCAAAATTAAAAATCTTGGCTAAAACTGTTGACAAGAAAATGAAGAGACAAGCTATAGACTTGGAAGATATATTTGTAAGTCATATGTCCAATGTTGAATCAGACCTATAATATTCAGAAAGGAAGTAGGAAAGTCAGATACATATTTGAAACATTGGATGTCATATGAAAGATTTTCTCTTTGCCTTTGTTTTATAGTTACCTTGTATCCACAATATGAAAAGAATCCTTAAACCTCAATAATCAGAAAACAGATAAACCCAGTTTTTAAAATGGGCATAGAACTTGAATAGACACTGCCACAGAGGATATAAGTTAGGCAAATAAGCACATGAAGAAATGTTCACCATCATTAGCCATTGTTGTTGTTATGTGCTGTCAAATCAGACCCGACTCATAGCGACCCTGCCTTGGGTTTACAAGGCAGTATCACTACGGAAGTAGATTGCCCTATCTTCCTTCTGTGGAGTGGCTGGTGGGTTTGAACCACTAGCCTTCTGGTTAGCAGTTAAGTTAGAATGGCTAAAATAAAAGATACTAACATTACCAAGTACTGGCAAGGATTATAGAACAACTGAAACTCTTATACATTGCTGATGGGAATGTAAAATGATACAGCCACTTGATTTGGCAATTTCTTATCAAGTTAAACATACACTTCCCATATGACCCAGAAATTTCCTTCCTGAGTACCCTGCTGTTGTAGTTGTTATGTACCGTTGAGTCAGACCTGACTCATAGTGACCCCTCCTTGGGTTTCCGAGGCGGTATCACTATGGAAATAGATTTCCCAACCTTCTGAGGAGTGGCTGGTGGGTTTGAACTGCCAGTCTTCTGGTTAGCAGTCAAGTACCTTAGGCACTATGCTGCCAGAGCTCTCCCTGAGTACCCTAGAGAAGTACTTATGTTCACATGGTAACTAGTACATGAACATCATACTAGCTTTATTTGTGGTATCCAAAGCTGGAGACAACGCAAGTGCCCTTTAACAAGTGAGTGGATAGATACACAGTGGTACAGCCCTACCGTAGATTACTAGTCAGCAGTAAAAATGAATGGATGGTTCTTACATACAGTAATTTAGATGAATCTCAAAGATGTTATGGTGAGTGAGATAAACCAGTATCAAAAGGTTACATACTGTATGATTAAATTTGTTTGACATTCTTGAAAAGACAAAACTGTAATGAAGAGAACAGTGGTTGCCAGGGGTTAGGGATGGCAGGAGAGTTGCTATAAAGGGATAGTGCTAGGAAGTTGTAGGAGGTGTTGGCACTGTTCTGATTGTGTGGGAGTAGTTACACGAGTCTTAAATTTATGAAAATATATAGAATTGTACACCAAAGAAAAATAATAAATTAAAAAAATAGTATTTAAAAACCAGGATTTCTTATTTCTTGTTTTTGTTACTGAAATAGTAAATTGCCCTGGTGTCTTTGTGTCATCAGACTTCCAATTTTTGAATCATTCTTCTATTAACTAACACAGCTATGATATATTTTATTTAAAGGCTGTTGCTGTAATGGTTTCCACCAGAGAAGGATCTATCCGCTATTGGCCAAACCTTGCTCATGAAGACACCTACACAGAGACTTTCGTAGATTTAGGAGGTGACAAGACTTATAATTTTCTAACAGCAGTGCAGGTAAATTGTGATTTGGCATGTAAATGCAATTTGGATGATTAAAAATGTAGGTTTTTGAGCAGACCATACAGGCCAGAAAGGGGTTAAAAAGAGACAGAGAAAACCAAGAATCTAAGATTTGAATAGTGGGCTAACGGGAAGACCTTCTTGCAGGACTCTAATATATCAATCTCAGAGAGTAGCTGGTAGGTAGCATTTGTTTCTTTCAGAAAGAGTATTGTGAAAAGAGTATTGTTTCAGGAGAGTATTGTGAAAACCCTTAGATACTCTTTAGACACTTTAAAGAATGATTTGCTAATTTATAGTTAGCAAGTTTACCAAAGAAATAAAATCTGATGATTGATTTGTTGAGCTTGCAATGTGGTGAACCTATAAATTAAAATTCAGAATTTGAAAAACAAAAACATTTTATGTTATGAAAGTTGTGTTTTTTTTTTTTTAATGTAGAATTAATAATATTAAGTGAATGGATTCTTAAGTAAATTATTTTAATAAAATAGTACTGCTCCTATTTTTTATTCTTTTAGATTTGTTTTAAGGTCCAGATGATTTTTCTCTACATCAAAACATTTTTTGTTACTTTAAAAAATACGTTAATGTTGTATGTTTGACTGAACTGATCTTACAATATTTGCTCACAGGGAGGAAGCTTTATTTTGTCCTCATCAGGAAGCCAACTCATTCGGTTGATACCTGAAAGTTTAGGAAAGATTCATCAGCATATCCTCCCTCAAGGACAAGGCATGCTTTTAGGAATTGGTCGAAGGGTTTCTTCTCTTTTAGGAATTTTGTCTACTAGTAGTGATCTCACAGTAAGTTGATAAAATACTTTATTTTACAAACTTGTTTCTTGGTGAATTCAGTGAGTTAAACGTTTCTTTTTTTTTTTTAATTTTAATTTTTATTTATTGTGATTTGGGTGAAGATTTACAGAGCAAATTCACTTTCCATACAGCAGTTCACACATACTTTGTCTCATGTCATTGACCACAGTTTACCACAATGCAACAGCTCCCCTCTCACTTCCTCCCCATAGTTACCTCTTCCCAGTGTCTATCCCTCCATACTCTCCTGCCCCCTGAGCTGTCTCCCTGTGCATAAGCAGCCCTTCCTTCTCCCATGATTGTTCTCTCCAGGGCGTGTGTCTACTTGAGGTAAATGTTGAACTCACATGCCTGTACTTTGTTTGGCTGGAAATCACAGGTGTGGGGAGTTGAACATTTCTTGTGAAGTCTGTTTTGCTTCTAGTATGAACAGTGGTGTACATGATGTAGAACCTTTGATCTTTTCATTGAGCTATTGGTATTGTGATGATTAAAGCCACACTAACCCTTTTCCCCTATACCTTGTAACATTAATAATCGTCAAATCAAGCAGATTTAAAAAAAAAAAAATTTATTGTGATTTGGGTGAAAGTTTACAGAGCACATTCATTTTCCATATAGCACTCCATACACATTTTGTCTTATGACATTAACTGCAGTTTTCCACAATGTAACAACTCTCTTCCTACTTCCTCCCCATAGTTACCTCTTTCCTGTGTCCTTCCCTCCCATGCACTCCTGACCCCTGAGACTCTTCCTGGGCTTACACTGTCCTGTTCTCCCATACAAATCAGGCAGATTTTCTTAGAACTACATTTTTTTTATGTAGAATTAAAACGATTATGTCAAGTTTAAGTATTTCCTAAGAACTTAGATTTCTAGGCTGAATCGGAACTATGTTCTCTAATCCCATGCTTCTAGCTATCTGTTAGGATCAAATCTATCAATACAGGCTTCCAGTTTCACCCTGAACTCCAGAAGAGTGAAGGAAAGTGTGATGGGAACTAAATTCATCCAGCTACTCTATGCCAAGGGCTCCCTATTTATGGTCTCATAGATTCATTACTAGGAGCTCTGGTAGCATAGTGCCTGAGGCACTTGACTGCTAACCAGAAGGCTGGCGGTTCAAACCCATCAGCCACTCCTAAGAAAGAAGGTTGGGCTATCTACTTCTGTAGCAGTACCGCCTCTGAAACCCAAGGAGGGGTTGCTATTAGTCGGGTCTGACTTGACAGCACATAACAACAACAACAACATATTCATTACCACAACCTATAAAGTAGATTACTATACCTCCAATTCACAGAAGATTTACAGAAAAACAGGCTCAATGAGATTAAGATGAATGACTAAGGTGACTTAACTATTGAGCGGTAGAACTTGGATTTATACCCAGTTCTGTCTGGATTTAAAACACATACTCTTTTTTCTATACTGTTTTTATTCTTATTTCTTATTTGCTTGTTTCTGATGTGATTATTTGCCATTATTACATGCTTCCCTTGAACATTCTTTGAACCTGAAACCTAACATGTTTAAAAATGTATGAGCATTTCTTTTCTGTTCTACTGACTACATGCTTAACCTTACAAAATTAATTTCTCTTCTGATCTGTCTCTATTAATAATCCCATCACATTTTTTAGTGACCTGGCTACAAAATTTTGATTGTTTTCTTGGTTCCTCCCTCTCTTTCTGTAGCATGGTAGTTATTTACAAGACATTGTAGATTTAACTTGTATCATATCTCATTTCCAACACCATCCTTCTGTTTCCATTATTATGCTCTAATCTATACTGGGTAAATTTCACCTAAACTTTAGTTGCCAGTTCAGTTTATTCATGATTGGTCCTTTCATGTTAGTCATGGTGACAGGAGAAATGAAGACAATTAGGGTTTTAACTCAAAACAGTCATGTATATTCAGCTTTAAAAAATGCCCATCTGTACTTCGTAAGCAAATATATACTTAAAAAATGACATAACACATTCATGTATAACTATATACATCCCTGCCAGATAAATTTTTCTATAACACAGCTCTAGCTTGTTATACTTCTGCTTCAAAGCCATTAATAATACCTGTCTTGTGTAGTAGATAGGGGTTCTGGTGGTGTAGTGCCTAAGGCATTTGACTGCTAACCAGAAGGCTGGTGGTTCAAACCCACCAGCCACTCCTCTGAAGGAAGATTGGGCAATCTACTTCTGTAGCGATACCGCCTTGGAAACCCAAGGGGCAGGTGGCGTCACTATGAGTCGGATCCAACATGATGGCAGTGACTTTGATTTTTTGGTTTGGTTTGCCTAGTAGATGTATAAACTCACTTGTATGTAAGACTCTCCAGTCTGTATCCCTAACTTTTCATACTTGTTGTTGTTGTTATGTGCTATCGAGTTGGACCCAACTCATAGCGGCCCCTCCTTGGGTTTCTGAGGCAGTATCACTACGGAAGTAGATTGCCCCATCTTCCTTCCGAGGAGTGGCTGGTGGATTTGAACCGCCAGCCTTCTGGTTAGCAGTCAAGTGCCTTAGCCACTATGCTACCAGATCTCCCACTTTTCATCTCACTATGCTACCAGAGCACACACTTTTCAAAAGAAGCTTTATTTTTTGCTTCTTTTCTACTTAGAATCTATGTTCCTGTTTAAGAGCACTACTTATTCTCTGAAGACTCTAACTTTCCTACCTCCCTCTCTCTGCTCCTCCTGGGCCTTCTGCCTTTGTACCTCTACCTGTAGAAATCCTACTGTACTCTCAAGATCTGTTTCAGGATCACGCCTTCCTTTGGATCCTAAATTTTGCTACTAACCAGATTAGTCATAAAACATATGCAAATTGAATTTCAGAGAAAAAGTTTGGTAATATTAGAACATAATGACTCATAAATTTGATCTTTGTTTTCTCTTCATATAGCTTTCAAGTGTCCTTTGGGATAGAGAGAGATCTAGCTTTTATAGCCTTACAAGTTCAAACATCAATAAATGGGAATTAGATGATTCTTCAGAAAAACAAGCACATACTTGGGATTTAAATAGAGCCCTAAAGGAAAACATTGCTGATGCTATTTGGGTAAGGAGTGAAAATACTTAGGTTTGTAATTCACATTTATGATTGTATGATAATGCTGGTCAATTGATTTATTTATTTGAACACATTTCAATGTAATAAATAGTGTATAGCCATCAGATAAGCAGAAATGAGGCATTTGGTCTATTAGAAATCACTGCTCTACTTTCTTAGTAATGGAAAAAAAATGCATTGTTCATTCAACAAATATTCAACAAATATCTCAGCTACTATAAGCAAGACACTTTACTAGGTGTTGGGGATACAGGGGTGACAAGGTATGATCCCTATACTCAGGAGCTTATGTTATTGATATATTCATATAGGGATCTGAAAGTAATTATGAAGCTATTAAAGAAGGTGTCAACATTCGGTATTTGGATCTGAAGCAAAACTGGTAAGCAATTAATTTGTCATAAAAAATACAGGTAATAGCATGGAAAAATATAGTTGTGTTACACTGAAATGATGAACAGTCTTGCTGTCTGTTCTTCTAGTGCTGATCTTCTTATATCATATGTTAAACCTTGCTAAATAGTTTTTATCTATTGATACTAATTTGTTTTAGAAATATAGCCAGTTATCAGCCTTACAATGTCTATCCTTACACTTGTTGTCTACCCTAGTTGGAGATGTATTGTTTCTGCTATTGCAGCTGAAGCTTCTCTCTTAATTGCCAAGAGACACCAAGATCCTATGCTTTCCCTACTGCTACAGTACTCAATGCTGCAATTTGCCTCCTCTCATAGAGATACTTGGCTTATTTTCCCAACGCTTTTCCTGTTGCTGAAGGAGCTTTAGTAACCTTACTTTTGTGACTATACTGAGTAAAGAGAGGATGGAATAAGGTTTTGTCTTGGCAGTACAAGTTGGAACCCCATTAAGGTTTATATTCATTGAATTTCCTCTGTAAGTAGTACTTAAGATCCCAGGTTAATCTGATGAAGCTAATTTATCCCTTATTATTATTCTTATTATTAATTTTATTTATTTTGTTGAGAATATACACAGAAAAATGTTTAGCAGTTTCTACATGTACAATTTAGTGATACTGATTACATTTCTCCAGTTGTGCAACCATTCTTAACCTCCTTTTCTGAGTTTTTCCTCTCCCATTCATATAAACTCACTGCCCTTAAGATTCCTATCTAATCTTTCAAGTTGCTTTTGTCAGTTTGATCCCATGTAGATAGTTCCTAAAAGGGTAGAATCCTCAAGGTAGATATTCTTTTACTAAGCTAAATTACTGTTTGGTTTTAAGAAGATTTCAGTATATTTTTGGTTTAAGGTTAAAAGATTATTTCAGACCAGTAGTATCAAGGGTTTATCCACCCTCCATGGCTCCAGGAACTCTGAAATCCATGAGATTTTGAAAATCTGTTCTGCATTTTCTCTCTTTTGATCAAGACTCTTCTGTTAATCTTTGTTCAAAATGTTCAGTAATCGTAGCCAAGCACCATCCAGTTCTTCTGGTCTCATGGCAAAAGAGACAGTTGTTCATGGAGGCAATTAGCCACACATTCCATTTCCTCTGTTGCTCTAGGTGAGTAGAGACTAATTGTTGTATCTTGGATGGCAGCTTATAAGCTTTTACAGGCACCAAGTGACAAACTAGGAGGTAGAACAGAAGTACTAAAGATGTTATTAGGCCAATTAACTGCGATGTCCCATGAAACATGACCCTAAACCTGCAAATAGGGAACCAAATCTCTGAGGTGATTGCTTGTGCATAAGCAGCGTTAGCAGCTACTGTGTGTGTGTGTGTGTGTGTGTGTGTGGTGTATACATCTATCACATGGTTTAGGCCAATTCAACTTTTTACAGGTGTACAATTCGATAGTACTTAAAATGATTGGCTGTGAAACCTTACCCTTAATCAATGTGATTTTTCCATCACTGTAAACAGAAACGCAATACTCCATAAGCAGTAATTTCCCCTTCCCTCCTGTCCTCCCACTCCTGGTAACTATTGATAAACTTTGGTTTCTATATATTTGCATTTTCTTATTTTTTATATATAAGTGTGATCATACAATATTTATCATTTTGTGATTGACTTAAATGTCTTCAAGCTCCATTAATACTGTAGCATATATCAAAACTTCATTTCTCCTACTGGCTGAGTAGTATTCCATTGTATATGTGTATTTTGTTCATCTATTCATCTCTTAATATGCATTCAGGTTGTTTCCACCTTTTGGCTGTTGGTAATAGTGCTTCAGTGAACATTGGTGTACAAGTCTCTGTTTTGAGTCTCTGCTTTCAAGTCTTTTGGGTATATACCTAGGAGTTGAATTGCTGGGCAGTTCTCTTTTTAGCTTTTTGAGAATTGCCACACTGTTTTCCATAACAGCTGTACCATTTTGCATTTTCATTAGCAGTGAATAAGGGTTCCAGTTTTCCCACATCCTCGCCAACATTTGTTATTTCTGTCGGCTTTTTTCCCCCCCAAAATCTTAGTCCATAGTCAAAAAAAAAACAAACCAAACTCACTGCCATCGAGTTGGATCTGACTCATAGCGACCCCTCCTCGGGTTTCTGAGGTGGTATCACTATGGAAGTAGATTGCCTAGTCTTCCTTCCGAGGAGTGGCTGGTGGGTTTGAACCACCAACCTTCTGATAAACAGTCAGATGCCTTAGGTACTACGCCACCAGAGCCATAGTTGTTGTTGTTGTTGTTATTTGCCGTCATGTCAGACCTGACTCGTAGCGACCCCTCCTTGGGTTTCCAGGACAGTATCACTATGGCAGTAGATTGCCCCATCTTCCTTCTGAGGAGTGGCTGGTGGGTTTGAACTGCCAGCCTTCTAGTTAGCAGTCAATCCAAGTGCCTTGGGCACTACGCTATAGTTGTTGTTGTTGTTGTTATTTGCCATTGAGTCGGCCCCGACTCATAGCGACCCCTCCTTGGGTTTCCGAGGCAGTATCACTACGGAAGTAGGATTGCCCAACCTTCCGGAGTTAAATGGTATCTCATTGTGGTTTTGATGGCTAATGGGGAGACCTGGTAACATAGTAGTTAAAGTACTTGAACTTGACTGCTAATTGAAAGGTCAGTGCTTTAGAGCCACCAGCTGCTCCATGGGAGAAAGATGTAGTAGCCTGTTTCTGTAAAGATTTACAGTCTGGAAACCATATGGGGCGGGTCTACTCTGTCCCGTAGGGTTAGTATGCATTGGAATCGACTTGATGACAGTGAGTTGGGTATTATTTAGTTTGGATGGCTAGTAACATTGAACATCTTTGTGTTTGGTGGTCATTTGAATGTACTAAAGAGGCCATTCAAAGGGCAGAATGTATATTCAAGTCCTTTTCCCCTTTTTATGATTGGGTTGTTTGTCTTTTTGTTGTTGAGTTGAAGTTTTATATATATTTTAGTTGTTAAATTCTTATCAGATATATGATTCCAAAGATACTCTCCCAGTTGGTAACTTGTGTTCTTTTTTTCTAGTAAAAAGTCTTTTGATGAACAAAAGTTTTTCATTTTTATGAGCTCCCGTTTGTTTCTCTTTTATATAATCCATTGCTAAAAGCTAGGCCTGACAGCATTACCCCTGCATTTTCTTCTAAGAACTTTATAGTTTCAATTTGTACATTTAAGTCCATAATTCATTCTGAGTGTGTCTTTGTGTATGGTGTGAGGCATGGATCCTGTTTCATTTATCTACATGTGGAAATCCAACTTTTCCAACACCAGTTTTGAAAATACTCTTCTTTCCTCATCTAATGGACTTAGCATCCTTGTCAAAAATAATTTGACCATAGACATATGGGTTTATTTCTGTACTCTCAATTCTATTCCATTGGGCTATGTGTTTGTTGTTACATTAGTACCAGGCTGCTTTGATTACTGTAGCTGTGCAATGGGTTTTAAAATCAGGATGTATTAGTCCCCCTACTTTGTTCTTCTCTTTCAGCATTACCTTAGTTATTCAGAACCTCATTCCATTTCATATAAAGTTGAGGATTGATTTTTCCATTTCTGTAAAGAATGCTGTTGAAATTTTCATCAGGATTGTGTTGAATCTGTAGATTGCTTTGCATAGTATTGACATCTTAACAATATTAAGTTTTCTAATCCATGAACATGGAATATCTTTCCATTTATGTAAGTGTTCTTTAATCTGTTTCTATAGTGTTTTATAATTTTCATTGTATAAGTGCTTCACATCCCTGGTTAAATTTATTTCTAGATATTTTGTTCTCTTGATGCTATTATAAACGGAATCACTTCCCTAATTTCCCTTTCAGATTTCTCATTGCTGGTATATAGAAACCCATCTGATCTTTGTTTTTTGACTTAGTACCTTGTAATTTTGCTAAATTCCTCTGTTAGCTCTAGAGGTTTTCTTGTGGATTGTTTGGGACTTTTATCATCAGCAAATAGTTCATTATCATCTGCAAATAAATATAATTTTAATTCTTTTTTCCCAATCTGGATTACTTCTATTTCTTTTTCCTAATTTACTGCTCTGGCTAAGACTTCTAATACAATATTGAATAGAAGTGGTAAGACCAGACACATTTTCTCTGTTTCCAGTTTCAAGGGGAAACCTCTCAAGTCTTTTTCCATTAAGTATAGTGTTTGGTGTTGGCTTTTGTTTTCTGTTTTTAAATTTTTATTGTAATTTGACTGAAAGTTTATAGATCAAATTCATTTTCCCTACAGCAGTTCATACACATTTTTGTTTCATGATACCGACAGCAATTCCCCATAGTGTAACAGCTATTTTCCCACTTACCTTTTCCTTGTGTCATTCCCTCCCATGTCCCATGCATGCCTGCCCCTCCACCAACTATCTCCCTGTGCAAACACTGCCCTTCTGTTCTCCCGCGATCAATCACTTCAAGGAGTGTATCTATCTGATGTAAGTGTTCACCCCATATGCCTGTCTATTGTTTGGCTGGAAGCCACGGGAGTGGTTCAGTTCCAGACCTGAAGGATAACTAGGGGCTGTCATCTCAGGGTTCTCACCAGGTTCTATCAGACCAGCAAACCTAGTCATTTTTTTTATGATTTTGAGTTTTGTTCCACATTGTTTTCCCATTCTATCCAGGATTTCCTGTACCGATCACCCTCTGATTGGTTGACTTGCTCTCATGGTCATAAAAACTAAGGATTGCATAGTTTACTGATTGTTTCCACGTGTCTTAGCTTTTTTTCATTCTTCTTTGCTCTGGATGAGGAGAGATCCATTGTTGCATCTAGATGGCTTCTTGCAAGCTTTTAAGACCCCTGTCCTTACTCACCAAAGGAGGATATTAAAAAAAAAAAAAAAAAACCTTATCACTGCTGTCGAGTTGGATCCGAGTCATAGTGACCCCTCCTTGAGTTTCTGAGGCAGTATCACTACAGAGTTAGATTGCCCAATCTTCCTTCCAAGGAGCGGCTGATGGGTTTGAACCACCAGCTTTCTGGTTCGCAGTTGAATGCTTTAGGCACTGTGCCACCAGAACTTCTATAAGTAGGATGTATAACAATGTTTTTGTGTAATATGTTATGCCAGTTGAGCATGATATCCCCTGTGACCATGGTCCCGAGCCCACATGTCCAACTGCTTGCTCCCTCAGGGTAGCTAGCTGTGGCCACGAAGCCACCACAACCTTGTCCCTTGTCAGCTCTACTGTAAACCCAGACGTTCTTACTTGCTATTGACTTTTCATATGTGCGCTGAATCATGTTGAAGAATTCCATGTAATTTAACTATGAGAAAGCACATGAATCCAAATATATCACTTATAATCCTTTGAAACACAATTTTGCAGAAGTTGAGGACTGTTTTATGTGTTTTAGGGGAATTTTTACTGGGTTCTTGTTATGTGTCAATTTAGTTTTGTAGAACAATTCTTGTTCTATGGAGGGATATTGCTATTCTATATATTTTTTCTCTCAGGCTTGTGTGACTATCAGTAGCATCTTCTTTATAGCTTTTGAAAACATTATAAAAGCTATTGAAGACATAGAAATAACAGTATTTATTTTCAGTAAGCAGTTTAATTAAATATAGTTCATCTGTTTTTATTTATCTTTACCAGATTTTCAGAAATTCAAGACTGCTGCTGAGGGCACAGCCAACTCTGGGCATGATGTGGACAGTTTTTCACATACAGTTTTCAGAATTAGAGGCATGAGGGTTGAGAAGAGAAACATGCTTAGGAATTGCTCTACTAGGCCAGACTTAGGGCTCATCTCCATAGTGTTGTCATAGTAACAAGAGCCTTGGGGTGTCTGTTGAGATCATAGTTCTTAGTCTTCTTTCCTTGCCTCTCTGCTTTTACTCCAAATTACCTGGTTAGTACTCTCTTAAATCCTTGAGGTAAAGTGATCAGAACTGTACAGATTATTATATCTATAGGTGTTTTTCTTCTGTTTAAGAATAGAGTTTGTTTTCATGATATTCATTGATTTGTTACCAATTTTGACCAGAGCTGCTGCCTAAGTTTAGATATTTATTGAACAGAATGTGTATGGATTATAAGTTCTTTTACTAGATTATTACTGATAAGAAGCTCAGAATCTTCATTTTAGATGTAAAATTTGGATATTTTTATTCTTAAATTTATTACCTTATATATACCCACATAAAAACTTACTTGTCAAATTTTTACTGACTTGCCAAATTCTGATTGTCTTCCCAGTATCTTCACTACCTAAAAAAGCTCCATTGTTTTTCAAACCTGAAGATTTATTTGGGAAGATGTCAAATAAAACTGGTCCTGTTACCACTCTCTAAGAAATATTTGTTAGCTGTGTCTCCATGACGCAGTGATACAATCATCCCACTACTGCTGTGTCTTTTTTTTTTTTTTTAAATAGACTTTATTTTTTAGAGAAGAGGCTTACAGAAAAATTGTGTAGAAAGTACAGGGAGTTCCAATATACTCTGTACTCCCTCCACATTATTTCTCCTGTTAACATCTTGCATTAATGTGGTACTTATGTTACCTTTTATGAGCCAGTATTAATGCATTCTTATTAACTAAAGTCCATACTTTACATTCACATGCCTTCTTTTATTATGTATTCCTGTGGATTTTGACAAATGCTTGTCCACCAATATCATACCAAGTAGTTTCACTACAGTTTTTAGTGGAACTTTGATACAGGGCTTTAGTAACTGACAGTATCACCTTACTTGGTACAGAGATGAGACTCTCGAGGCTACATTCTTTGGGGCCTCTCTTAGTTCCTTCATATGTGTGGTATATGTCCTTATATTTATCTGTATGTAAAGTTTCCTTGATTTCTTTTGAATAGTCCAAGAGAGACTGATAAGATTTGGGAAGTTGGGAGACGAGAAATAGTGTAGAAGGAAATGAAAGCCATGTTAGGGATTGCTTGATCTCAGTGATGTATAATTTAGTAGTCACTGTTGTTTCTTACCATTTAGGTAATGGCTTTTTCTCAGTTCTCCATTAGAGGTCCTTCCAAATTGTTAATATTTCTAAGACTTGAATGAAAGTTACTAATAATGCTACTACATGTTTTGGAAGGGTTGAGATTAGATATCATTTCATTCTTTGTTAGGGGCAGTAACTTTGATAGACAAAGAGGAACATAAAAGCTTTAAGAGGGAGCCGAGTTTGTTTTCCCATATATCAAAGCTCTTCACTAACTAAGGGTTAGGATTTTTTTTTTTTTTAAAGTTTTTTCCTTTGGACAAAAGGGAGCTGCTTACATCAGGGACTAACTAACCTTTTCTGTAAAAGGACCTATTTTTGTAAGCAAAAGTAGTCATTACTGTTAGTATTCAACATTTTATCATCAAAGTATCCATGGACAATATATAAATGAGTGTTCATGGTTGTGCTCCAGTAAAACTTTATTTACAGTAATAGGGCATGGGCTTGGATTAGATTATTTCTTGATTTTTCTTTTTCAAGTCACATTTATTCAGCTATAATTTACATACAATGAAATTCACTCTCTTTAGTGTATAATTCTGTGAATTTTGACAAGTGCAGACAGTTATTTAGCCACAATCACAATTAAGACACAGAATAGTTCCATCACCCCCAAAAGTTCCCTTGGGCCCTCTTGTGTACAGTCAACCCTTCCTTCCATCCCCAACTCCTGGTAATTATTGATCTGTTCCCTGTCCCTGTAATTTTGCCTTTTTTAAAATGTCATGTAAATGGAATCATGTATTGTAAAGCTTTTTGAGTCTAGCTTCTTTGACTTAGTATTATACATTTGAGAGTTGCTCAATAGTTCTTCCTTGTTAACTGCTCAATAGTATTCTATTGTTGGCTGTACCAAGGTCGGTTTATCTGTTCAACAGCTGAAGAACATGTGAGTTGTTTACAGTTTCAGGGAATTATGAATAAAGCCATTGTACCCATTTGGACCCAGGTTTTTGTGTGAACATAAGTTTTTTTAAAAAATTATTTAATTTTTTTAACATTTTATTTCTCTTGAGTAAACATTTAGAAGTGGGCGTACTAAGTCATGTGATGATAATTGTACATGTAACTTTATTAGAACCTGCCAAACTGTTTTCCAAAGAGACTGTTGATCCTCTTTTTCATTGAATAGTGATGGGCTCCTGATTTTGGCAGCAGCATGGCATCCAGCAGACACTCCATGTCTCATATATTACTCTCTGGTAACAGTGGAAGATGATGGCTACCAAATGCCAGGTGCAGTTACTGTAGAAGTCACTCAGTATAATCCACCTTTCCAGGTAAGATTTCTGTTTGATAATTAAACTCAAAAAGACAATAGCACATGGAGTTCTTTTCTAAGCATTGCAAGGCCAAAGTATTTGAGAGATTCATCTATAGGGCTTAGAAATATTTTTAAATAGCTTGTCTTTAGACATTGTTGCATTTCCTTTGCCATCTCAGAATCTTTCTTTCATTGGTTCAACCTTAGCTAAAGAGAAATGAAAAGGGAATCAACCAGCAAACAAGCCATTTGTTTCTCCCGCTGTGTCTCTTACAGAGGGGTTATTATTTGTATACTGTTGTTGTTGTTATGTGCCGTTGAGTTGAATCCGACTCAGCGAACCCCCCTTGGGTTGCTAAGGCAGTATCAACCTATTTCCATCAAGTCGATTCTAACTCAGAGTGCCCCCCCATAGGGTTTCCAAAGCTATAAATCTTTATGGAAGTAGACTGCCTTATCTTTCTCCCATGGAGAAGTTGGTAGGTTTCAACTGCCATCCTTTTGGTTAGTAGCCAAATGCCTTAACTACTGTGCCACCAAAGCTGTATTAGTGATTAGAAAGGCGATACTGATGATGAACTGAAGGATGAAAGTAAGGAAGAAATCTTATAGGAATTGGGATATGGTTTTGAGCCCTCTGTATCTCAGAAAAATCCTTTTGCCCAAAGCAGGATTATATTTGTAGGCAACAATATTTTATATTTTTATTAAATTTCTTACAATCCATTAAAAGGCTTGTTTTTTCATTTTAAGTTATTCATAGCAATTTAACATATAGCTTAATAGCTGTGATATTCAGGAAGGAAACCTTCACAGCTGTAAATTCATTTTTTTTAACCTTGTGTAGAATCTAATTCTTTTAAGTCTTTACATGACTTGTTTAACTGAATTTTGTCAGAAAATCTTTTATTTTTTATCTTAAATGGAAATAAGCCTTACCATATTTTCTGATTATGAAAGAAAAAACATGCTCAGTGATAAAAATCATTTTTTTAACACAATGCAGTAGGATAGAAAGAAAACAACTTGAGAATTAAAAAGCAAACAAACCTGGAATGTCACATTAGTATGGTGTTTATAACATAATTTCTTTAATAACTAGTTATCATTTTAATATTTGTTAATTTTATCATTCAATTCTTATTTTTATTTCGCTGAATTTATAAATCAACTTGGGCAAAGTCACTTAATTTTCTTGTGCTTGATATCTTGACAGTAAAGTAAGAATGACAGTGTTTATTTTTTGGGGATTATTTATAAAATATTTGCCAGTTCTAAAATAATAATAGTAAGGAAGGTTGGGCAATCCTACTTCTGTAGTGACATTGCCTTGAAAACGCAAGGAGGGGTCGCTATGAGTCAGGGCTGACTCGATGACAAATAACAACAACAATAATAATAATTAATGGTTTTATTTTTGCTACCATTTGTTATAGGGATCTAGTGGTAATCTTATTACTATGAAAATGTTTTAAAAATTTGCTAATTATTTGTAACTCAGCAAATGATTTCCCTATTTGATGTTTATAAGCTTAATTTGTCAGTTTTTTGTAAATCAACCTATGGGTAGTATTTAGATTAGATTTTTTAGAAGTGAATCAGTGTATTATTTTTTAAGATAGTATACAGAAAACATTGGTTATAAAATCATACAAACAAGTGTTTTGATTTTAATTCTCTGTAAATACAACCTTACGTTTAATTTTCAGTCTGAAGACCTGATAAACTGTCGGTTGGTGGTCCCAAACTTTTCAAATCAGACAGCCTATCTGTGTACTGAGAGTGCAGTCTATGTGTGCTCCACAGGAAATGGGAGGTTTTCTCTTCCACGGGAGAAAATTGGTTTTGGTACACAAGGTAAAGTAGCAGTTCTAGAGAACATGATTAGTGAACTCATTAGTTAATCTTAGTTTTGTATTCTCTTTCCTTAAATGTTGCTTCTGGCATTATTGATACCTCCAAATGTTTCTGAGACCATCAGGACCACACCTACAGTAACTGAAGTGCATTCTACTGAAAAAGTAAAAAGATGGTAAAATTCCCAAACTGTTATATTTAGGAGGGTATAATAGTAACATTTTTCCCAGGAGAAGAGGTCAAAAAGGAAAGAATGGACACTAAAAGAAGTAACCACTTATTCAGAGTTACCAAACAAAAATCAAACTCACTGCCATTGAGTCGATTGTGACTCATAGTGACCCCCTTTGGGTTTCTGAGGCTGTAAATCTTTATGGCAGTGGATTGCCTTATCTTCCTTCCACAGAGCAGCTGGTGGGTTTGAACTGATGACCTTCTGGTTAGCAACCACATGCCTTATCCACTATGCTACCAAACCAAACCAAACTCACTGCTGTTGAGTCGTTTCCAACTCATAGAGACCCCTCCTTGGGTTTCCGAGGTGGTATCTCTATGGAAGTAGATGCCAAGTCTTCCTTCCGAGGAGTGGCTGGTGGGTTTGAATCACCAGCCTTCTGATTAGCAGTCAAATGCCTTAGGCACTACACCATTGGAGCTCCCACTTCACTACCAGAGCTCCTTATATTTGAAATTAGTAAGAGTGATTTATTCTGAGTTGATATTCTTTAAATATTGGTCTAGACCCTTGAATAAGAAGAATCCTGGGTGTGGACTCATGGATGGGAACTCTGGAATGAATGCAGGGAGGGGGACTGGTCACAAGTGGAAGGGGCCAAAATCCAGATGAGAGAAGAGAGTAGAGTCTAGCTTTTCTAGTCCCAGATTAAGAGCCTTGATTGTGGTTAGGTAACAATAATTGAGAGCAAGCTTAGATTTCTTTTTTTCAGTTTCATTGGTTGATCCAGTAAGGTAAAAACAGATTGAAAAAGAGGGCTCCACAGGATTAAAAAAGTTGTCATCCTGAGTTTTACTGAGTGAATAATTTTCATTTTTGTCTTACTTGTAGTTTAGGCTTATTGTCATGCTATACTCACTGCTCTTTTACAAGGCTGGTTTTTATTATCTTTAAAATTGAAGGATGCAGAGCCTACTTCTTAATATAACAATAGGTTCTTAACATTTGTTCTTGAGATTAAAAAGCTGAGGTCAGAGAGGAAATCTCAAGATGATTTTCAACTTTAGGATGGTGAATTTTGGAAAATGTTCTTTGCTATGTATGGTTAATTATATATATATATATATATATTTATTTAATTTTTTTTAGGAGATAGTATTTTAGGAGCTGGTTCTTGTGGTGGCGTTCCTGTCATTTTTTCTAAAAGCAATGGCTTGATGTCTATTATATTGAGGGAAAATGTGTCCATATTAGCAGAAGATATTGAAGATTCCCTAACATCTTCAATTGCTGGACGAAGCAATGAGGTAAAATGGTACCATAAGATTTTTTAATTTTTATTTTTATCGGAATATTTAACATAGAGGTAAGTCAAACTACTTGAAAACGTTTATGATAAAAATATGAGATCTTTTCTCACCCTCATCCCATCTGTCAGTTTTCCCAGAAGCAACTACTTTTACCTATTTTAGCTGTTTCTTCTGGAATTTTTTTCCTCTGTATTTCTAAGTAACATGCACATATTTCTGTCTCTTGATTTATGAATCTTAGGGACCTGTTGACTTACTATTATGGAAAATGAGGATTTTGGTTTTTATGAATATTCCTTCATCTGCCTTAATCATACAAGGTTTTTTTACTCAAATGACAGTGTGAATATTGCTTATAGTTTGTCAAGCCAAATATTGTGCTGATTACATTTCCTTTATGATACAGCTTTTCTGATTCTTACGTAGTCAGTTGACTCATTTTATGTATGCTTACTTTTCTTTAATATTGGTCTTAGTTTTCCCATAGTCTCTAATGGCTCTGTAAAATGCTCCTCGGTATAGTTTTCCCCACAGTCACATCTCTCAAAAACCTTTGAGCTATACAGCTCTCATCCTGGAACTTCCCTTTTCTGTTACCCTCTAAATTCTCATCAGCATCTATCCCTACACCACATGCTTAGGTCTTTCTCCTCTCTGGTCTGCTATTGCCACTCCTGGTTTCCATCGTGATGTATTATGGTTGGACTCATAGGTGATTTAGTGTACATGGTGTTTCTCTTTCTTGATATTGTTTTGGGGTGATTTTAGAGGAAGAGTTGAATAAAAATCTTGTTTTTCCCTGTCATTTATAAACCTGAAATACACTGTTCATAAAATTAAAAAAAAATTTATTATAATAAAATACATATAACCGTAAGTTTACCATTTTAACTATTTTTAAGTGAATAATTTAGTGGCATTAATTACATTTACCACATTGTACTACCATTACCATTGATCGTTTTCAAAATTGTTACATCATCCAAACTCAATTACAGCATCTAGCCATAAGATTTTTATTATTTTTTTATAACTAACCTAACTCACTGCCGTGGAGTCGGATCTGACACATAGCGACTCCTCCTTGGGTTTCTGAGGTGGTATCGCTACAGAAGTAGATTACCCAGTCTTCATCTGAGGAGTGGCTGGTGGGTGGGTTTGAACTGCCAGCCTTCTGGTCAGCAGTCAGATGGCTTAGGCACTATGCCACCAAAACTCCTTATTTTTTTTTTGCAAAACATTAAAAGAATAATGCTGAAGAGGTTCCAGCAAGATGGTGGACTAGGCCGAAAGACTGCACAGACCCACTTCAACAAAGACAAGGGAAACCAATTAACACAGACACAGAAGATAATCTTGGACCCCTGAGGCTTGAAGGGAAGGATATAGAAGTGGACTAAACCCCAACTAGCAGAAGAATTTGCGTGAAAATACCAAAAAAGGAAACATAGGAGCTGTGGTCTGGCAGCGATCCTGACGGCTCAGACAGCTTGGAGATTCCCGAGTGCTGGTAGGAACTAAGAATTAACCTAAAAATTACCCTGCTAGCCAGAGACTACATGGAGGACTGTGCGTGGTGGCTGGGGAACAGACGGAGAAGGTGAAGAGAAAGGTGGACTGAACTGTGGACTTTTGCCGGTACGGAGGGCGCCGCCATTTTGAAGGTTTAAAAAGCAGCTTGACTATTTTGGATATTTAAAGAGACAGTGCTCTCGCAGATTCCTGGGGCTTAAGAACA